AGTCGCCAACCACTTGCGGGTCCTCATCTTTGGAGATAAGAGAAGTCCTAACCACCAATACCTGATCAGGGAAACGTCACTCAATTAACGATTTATTATAATAAATAAAAAATCTATTGGCTGGGTGAGCGTCCATAATAATAGCAACAGTATGAAAACCATCGCCAGAAACGAGCCTTAAGAACATCCATGAAATAATTTTTGATGATAGAAGATTTTTTTTTTACTTAATCTCTCACGTTAAAATTATTACAATAAAAACATCATCGAAAATATGTATAAAATACTACAATTATGTTTAGAATGTCATGTAAAAAACCTTAAAGACACGTCGTTAAAAGATGAAATATAAAAACATTATAAGCCATCAATAATAAAACAGGTTTTCTTGATACGCTTCTTATCCGTCAACGGTAGGTGACGTATTGCTTGTTGACTTCAGGCGTCATGAGTGAGAAGTGTTAGTAGTTTTTCCTCTGAGGAGCTGTTGAATTCCCTCGTTGCGAACCCCACTAGTCCAATAACCAAGCGTCCTTCCCGTCTTCTCAGAGCATCCACCATCGACTGAAGCTTGACGAGGCGAGGGGGTATCCCAGCAGAATGTTTCTACTTCATTTAGGTCTAATTTGAAAGCATCTATTGCTACAGTTGTTTAAGTATCAGGGCCGATTTAACTTTTTAAAATTCTTTCATTATTGTCTCTGAGAGTTATATACATATACCTGAAGAGACTTCCATTCATATTTTACTTGTTTAGTTTTGCCAATTTCAGGCTGCTTTAAAACCTCACAATATAAGGGTTTTCGTGGTTTATTAGTTTCCATCATTAGCTTTGATTCTGGGTCATTATTAGGCCCAGACTCCTTCTTGCGTTTGTTCTCAGTAGAAGTACAGGATTCCTTGGTTTCAGGGGACAATATTATATTAAAACTTAATGTCTTTGTCCCTTTTGGGCTGCGTGGAGTTAAATATTTCATTTTACTTTATTCTCTTTTCTTTCATCAATGAGAGGACAAGTTTTCTTTGCATACCTTCTCGTCCTATAATGACCGGCGTATCACCTCTATCAGGCGGTTCTTTAAAGGGAAGAGACATCACTCACCTTGTCAAGAACAATGACAACAAGGCGACGCTATTTTACGGGAGGGGAATCCAGGCACGAAGAAATCAGTGAAAAGCTGTCTCACGGTTGTGAAGTATTTCCAATCAAGGGTGGTCACGGAGTCGCTACCGATCCTATGATATGTCATTTCACTTTGTAAGATCCCTAGGACAATTAATTTTTTCTATCACAGAATTTTTTTCGTCCAGAGATATACATAAAAAAGATGATAAAAGAATTTATCTTAGAAACGGGCATCATTGCGACCATGTCATCCAGAACACTCATGAAACAAAGTATTTTTTTCGTAAAATCCCCATTACTTTGACATCATACATTTTACCTCCAACAAACTCAACCTTTTGACTAGATTAAACTTCTATTATTATTATTATATATTTATATATATCTTTCAAGATAATTTGATAATTTTGGTGAATATAATTAATTATTGAATTGGACACATCCGTCTACAGGAAATGAACTTGTGAACTTTTTTTAGATGATTTACTGAAGGCAAAGCGATTATTCCAGAATCGATAATATGATTATACAGTGCTGGACTAGTATTTTGCCACTATGTATGTAGAAATGTCTAAAAGTTAAAAGTTTCTCCCTTTTGGACATTTTAAATATTAAATTAGAATATTATATATTATTATGCACATAATTATCCAAGCAACGATGAAAATTTTATATATGCTAGTACAAGAAAATATGGTAGTACTTAATTTATACTTAGATTCTAGTTTTCACAACTTCATCAATTTATTCTTTCATGAACAGAAATCGGATAGCTAACAAATTTAAGTTTTACTGTTGCATTGTCTTAGAAATACTAATTATATCGGTTATATTTACGACTTGCAACATTTTTATTTATTATTTTATTTATGTCGTGTTTTTCTTCATATTTTTATATTTAAATATGGTTCTGAAATAATAAACTATATGTTTTTTCTCTGAGAGTAATAGCAAAGTGGCCCGCAAATCGAAACTAAGCTCCGCTAATGTTTTTTTACTTCTCTATTTATTTTGATCAAGTATCAGTATTCACAATATAATCCCATTAGGGCTGTGGATAGCGCGTTGGACTTATAATCCAAAGTTCGACACCTTGATGGGATGTGCGATTAATTTTTATACTTTTTCGCAAAATATTAATAATAATAAAACATATTTCAATGGAGGAACAGAATACCCAGTAAATCCCTTATCTTGAGTCGGGCGCCTTAGACCATCCTGACAACTACTTAGAAAATCGTTTTAATCAATAGTTACTGAAGTGTTATCACCTATTAATCTTCAGTATAAATTTAACTTGTAAGAATGCCTATTATTAATAATATAACTTAACCCATTACTTCCATTACGTACTTTAAAGTACGTGTTGTAACCTGATTTTGTGGTATTATGCTGTTCAAATACTTTATCTTAGAAGCTTATTTTATAAATAAAATAGATAGATTTACGTGTTAATAACATTCATTATTTTATTTCATTGTACCGACAACTGATTCAGTTTGTTATAAATAGTCAAAGAATAAAGTCAATATTTCAAAATGAAAAAATCTGTGCTCCCATTAAGTTCAACCATTAAAAAAACTTAAGTATTGTCACATTTTTAAGTTTTTTTTCTTTATTATATAGTTCCAAACTTTTTTCTCAATGAAAAAAAAATGTCGTAATTGTAGTTTTTGTGGTCAAAATTATATTTTAGATTTTGAACGTACTTTAAAGTACGTGATGGAAGATGACCTGAAAATTTGTGTTTGTTTATTATACATATTATATCGTTATAATTTTTTTTTTGGGACATTCAGAACTTTTGGACTTAGCACAATTGAAATTTTGGATCTACTTGATGACTACCCTCCAAACAATCCAACGGATATTGTGATTTTCCTTCCTCTTGAGACAAACGATTTAAGTGATGAGGAGTGGCTATATGACAGCATCTTCCAAAATAATGTATTGGGAAACGAGGGAAGATACATGCAACAACTTTGGAAAAAATGTATCTCCAGATCAAACTATGAAAAACTAATACAATACACTTCGAAAGTATCCCAAATCCTAAAAATACATTATGGAAAGTACAACCTTTGATGGACGGCATAAATCAAACTGCAAAAATGTATGTTCAAAGAACTGAGTATATTTCGATCGATGAGTCAGTGGTGAAATTTTTTGGACCTCATCCCCTCAAACAATTTTTGCATGGAAAAACAGTACGCTTCGGTTTCAAGATCTGGTGTGCATGTACTCCATTTGGAGAGCTCCTCTATTGTCTTCCCTATAGGGGAAATACAAAGATTACACCAAGAGGACTTGGACAGGGTCCAGATGTGGTCGTTTAAATGGTAGAGAAACTTGATCTAAAACAAGGCCATAAAATTGTTTGTGATAATATATTTGCTTCTATTGACCTTATGGATTATTTGAGATCTAAAGGCCTTGGAATAGTTGGAACAATGAGGCAAAAAAAATATGAATCTACCAACACAAAAATCAATGAAAAAGGCGAACAAAGGTTTTATGAAATATGTTTATATTGACAACTATTTGTGCGTTACAGCGTGGAAGGATTAAGGGTCAGCTTTCATAGGGTCAAACTTTTTGGATTCAGAGCTAATTGGATATGTGAACAAATACAATCGAGAACAACCAGATCCGGCAGCAGGCCAAGGCTTTTGGAGGGACCCTACAGTTGTTATGGGGGGGGGCACAATTGGCACATTCATAAAAGATTGGGCCCACGTCACTCAGTGGGCGGGCCTCGCCCCCCTGGGGCCCGCACATCCCGCCGGGCCTGAGAACAACGGAAGAAGATACCCACAGCATGCCCTAATTCATCTATTGTTTAGAGTAAAATATGGCTTGCTGGATAACTCAGTCTCAAATTATAGAATTACTTCGCGGACTAAAAAATGGCATTGGGCATTATACAACTGGTTTCTGAATGTCCAAATGGTGCAGGCCTGGCGCCTCTATAGACGAGTTGGAAAGCTAAAAAATGTAAGGAAATGGAAAACAAGCAAAAGAGATCCTTTTTTCGCTGCTAAGGATGTGATGTGGATCTTCACCCACAATACTTGACGGACTACCACACAAAAAGTAAATGAAAATAAAATATTGTTCATAGGTATTTGCATAAGTTATAAAGCATATAATTTGTAAGAGTTTTATATAAATGAAAATATTAATTTTGATATGCTTAGTTTCTCAATAAAAGTAAAAGAGTGAAATATTTTTTTTTCCTAGTTCTTCCATCACGTACTTTAAAGTACGTGGCCATTGCTAAGGACTGAGGGGCGGTAGAGAAAAAAAAATATCATTATTATCCATATTTATACTAAAAGGAATAAAATATCAAATTTTCAGCGAAGTCATGGAAGTAATGGGTTAATAGCAACTCAATATTCATGCAATTAAAATAAAAATACTTTTAATCATTCTAATCTTAAGATTTTAGACATAAAAGAACCTTCACATATATATGTATTTAATATATATATATATATACAGAGAAGAAATTAAATACTTTAGTTGAGATCTCTCAACATAACTAAGCAATATTATATGAAACAAAATGTTTTCGGCCGGCGACCTTGCGCGTGTGAGGCGCACGTGATAACCACTACACTAAGAAAACGTATTTAATATCTTAATCTAACCTGTGTATTATTCTGTATAGCTTATTTTGTTATATGATAAATACAGCTCGATTTGAGTTATTAATTATTATGTCTTATTAGTTGCAACAATTAAACATCCACTCGCCATGCAAAAAAAAACACGTTTTTGAGACCTTTAGGAAGGCATTTTGACAGTAGTAAATACAGGAAAGGTATATCAGTTAAATAGAGTAAAAATAGCAAAAATTAAGAAAAAAGCATTGGTCCGTTGGGGATCGAACCCGTGACTTTCGCGTTATTAGCACGACGTTCTAACCAGCTGAGCTAACGAGCCATACAGATTATATGAGAAATAATATTGAATAAAGCTATTCTTACCATCATAATCTTTTAAAAATAAAGGTATATATAGGTCACTTACAATTGGGGGCGTAGCTCAGATGGTAGAGTGCTCAATTAGCATCAACACCTGAGCCTAGACGACTCTCAGCAGTGAGGGTATGGAGCATCACCTATAGGAGAGGACATCCCTAAGGAAAATAGCTTCAGAGCTTAAGGAAGCACCTCCATCTCAGTTGAGCTCTCTGCTCTGCTCAAACTGAGCATTGTTGAGGAAATTCCCCGGAGCAACAGGCAAGCTTTCTGGGCTTCCCAACGCCCCTACTTCACCCTCTACTGTGGAGCACCCCCTTTTCTTCTCCCACATACTCATGTACATTTGGTGAGAAGAATAAAGTGCAAATAGTAGTCTCCCCCCCTAATTCATCGGTTCTGGGTCTGTTAGGCAAAATCCATTTGTCTACAGGCCTGGGACCTTGAAAAACAAAGCCATACACAAAAGTGGTTTTATGGATTTGGAAAAATGGTTGTGGTCATAACTACCGAACCGGTCATCGTAAAGGACTAAGACCATCATCGCTGGATTCGCAGTTAAAAGGTGCACTTCCTCAAAACCCACAGCCTCTCGAGGCCGTCACCGACCTCCGTGGCAAGTGATGGCTCTACAGACTCAGCAGAGTAAGGCGAGTCTCACACCGTAACTCCCATCGGAATCCACCCACGCACCGCCGAGATATCGACCTCCGAAGTTGGAAAACAACTGGATTCCAGCGTTTTTTCCACCGGTTAAGGTCGAGAACTCCAGAACCAAGCGCGCTAGATAAGCGAGGGACACCTAAGCCGAGACGACCCCAAGTGAACCCTCAGTGGAAAGATATGGAGCACACAACTAGGAGAGGAATTCCCTAAGGAGTAAAGAGCTTCAGAGCTTAAGGAAGCACCTCCAACTCAGTTGATCTCTCCACTCAAACTGAGCATTGCTTCCTTGAGGAATTGCCCCGGAGCTACAGGCCAGCTTTTTGGGCTGCCCAACGCCCCTACTTCATCCTACTACTCCACTGTAGAGCACCTCCTTCCCTTCTCCTACATGCGTATGTACATTTGGGGAGAAGAATAAAGATCACAGAGCTGTCTCCCCCCCCTATTCCAACGGCTCTAGGTCTGATGGGCAAAATCCATTTGTCTACAGGCCTAGGACCTTGAAAAACAAGGCCATATACAGAAGTGGTTTTATGGTTTTGTGGAAATGGTTTTGGCCATATCTCCCGAACCATACACCGGAGAGGAATAAGACCGACATCGCTGGACTCGTCATCGAAAGGCGCACCAGCCCGCATCCTCAAAAATCCCGGCCTCGCGAGGCCGTCACCGCCTCCAAGACGAGTGGCGGCTCTACGAACTCCCTGGAGTGAGGCAAGTCACACGGAATACACCCCCGGGCCGCCGAGATATCGACCTCCAAAGTTGGGAATTATCAGCACTACGTCGGATTTCCAACCAGTTGAGGTCGAGATCTCCGGAACCGAGCGCCTTAGAAAAGCGAGGAACACCTCATCAGGATCGGGCAATCAAAAGGAGTCATCGCCAAGACAACACGTCCTCGCAGCCTCAGGAGGCCGTCGCCAACCTCCGCCGACCTCGGCGTGATATATATCATTCTTCTCGCCTGAGAAACCCCTATCCAACGGGACCAACCATAGGATCCTAGGCCAATGGATCCCGGAATTACGGACCACACCCTGGACCGGGAGTGGTGGATTTAGATTGGGAAACGCGAAATCATCGAAGTCACACCCAGAGGAGGCATAGAAGTGGTCAGGTGAGCCCCATTACACTGTCCAAACAACCTTCCTCAAATTTAATTAACAACCCTAAATAACATAGGTAGTAATCATAACAATTATAAATAGATAAAATAAAAATAAGTAAAAAAACAATAAAAGAAAATTATAAAAAAACATTATTAACCATAACCTTTTAACACTATTTTAACCTTTTATATATCAATATCAATCTACTTTAATTCAAAAACTTTTTAATACCATAATCATTTTAACACATATAACGCTAATATTTACCACTGACTAACTTTTAATAAATTCTTAAATCCCTTCTAACACCAAGTTTTATTGAAGTTTTTATTCTTATATCGCATCTTATTGGTTAGTAACCAGAGGTCCACCTTGTACTGTGCGTCTTCCCCGGTCGCGACTAAGTTTAATAGAATCGAAAATGGAAGAACCCCATTACATATTTAAGGACACCACGTGCCCTGTATGCGGCCTCAAACGTCTTAGCGTCTCTGCAATTAAGACCCATGCGGAGAACACCCATCCGGAGGAATGGAATAAAGCAAAAAGCTTTAACTACGGATGCAAGTTCCTAGTCACCAAGAATACGACTATAAAAATAGCGGAGACTGAGCTGGAACTCAAGAAGAAGCTTGGTCATAAGACCGACTTTAAAAAGAACATCAACAGTTACTTGCAAAGGAAATTTCCTGAAATACCTGCGAGAATGTTCGCGAATGTCCGGAGACGACGTTCTTATTACAAATTAATAAAATACCTCGCTGAGGAGCAACAGACTGAGGTTATAGAGGAAGGGGAATACCACACTGACAACTTGAGGTGGCGGAGGTAGAGGTAAGCCTTATAATAAATAACCCAACCATATCGGTTGCGGCCATCGCTGAGGTCCTACTCGAACAGTTCCCCGTCCTCAACGATGACTCCCTGGAGTGCGTCAGGTTGAGCCCCGACTATAAAGATGTAGTCGAGGATATGCTAGAAAAATTTGGGGCTAGCACCCCAAAGACTCCAGACAGGACGGAGTTAAGTCCAGCGGCAGAAGCCGCAAGTACTGCCGCATCGCTTATTGATGCGGCATCTTCTCTCATTAGGACCTGTCCTAAACAGCCCTAGAAGTGCCAGGTCCCCGGACGCACCAACCATTAGAAGGCTCTCAATTGCAAGTGAAGCCTTAAAAGAGGCAAAGGATGCCCTCACAACACCGAGCAAAAGGGTGGAAGTCCCGAGGCTTTCCCCAACCTCCCCAACGCTCCTGGACTTTGGTACTCCAATGGAGGACCTGCAAGAGGAGCCAGAGACAAAACAATCGAACGAGAAGACTTGGATAGAGGAGACACCGGCCCACCAAACGGCACAGCCCGGTGGTAAGCCAAAAAATATCCTCAGACTCCTGACCACACAGGCCACACCAAATCTAGATTCTACATGCCCCAAGTTACCATAAATCCAAGTGACCGGTCGGCTGCTGACGCGGTCCTTGGTAGGAGCGAAAGTTCAAGCGGAAGAAGAAGAGGAAGAGACCCAAGAGCACCCTGACGGAGCTCTCGGGCAGTGACTCCTCCGACAGAGCACACAAGCCCCAGCCGGTCAGGAGGAGGCTTTTAAATTCATCAAGCAGCGAGGTGAGCGAAACCATTCAGCCCCCCACTGCAACAGCAGCCGAAAAGCAAATCACTCCCCTGCAGCAAAAACCCGAAGACCCTGAGAGGCCCTCGGGAAGAGCCCGGGTAGTAAGCAATGGCGGCAAACCCCAGCAGCAGCTGGACCACAAAAGACCCAACAAAGGGACCCTGAGGACCCAAAGGAGACCTCGGAGAGAACCCCGGAGGCGACCAAGAATGGGGAACCCCCAGCAGAAACGGGAACTCAGGAAACATCCCAGCTAAATGGCCCCGATGAACCCATGGAGACCTCGGAAAAGCCCCTTGGAAGAGACAGGGACAGTGAGGTCATGAATTCGGAACGGAAGGATGCCCCCAAAGCGCCCGCAGCAGAAGCGCCGCAGGAAAAGGAGAAAGAAGGGGGAGTCCTACAAACAGGTCAAAGCAAGGCAAAAGGGCTGGCCTCAACCCTGGTAGACCGGATCAAGGAAACTATGGACTCACTGAGAGCCCAAAAGTCCCAACAATCCAAGGACTGCCAGAGTGAACAGAGGTCCTACGCCCAGGCCTTAGAATCAAGCCCTCCAAAAATCGACGTTTGCCAACAACGGAAGAGGGTGGCGGAGTGCGCCGGTGACGCCAAAATCGAAGAAATGGTGGGATGGCTCAGGAGCCACATCCCAGTTAACACAAAAAAGGTAAATACGAAAGAAGGGGAAGACACACTAGGTAACCAAAAAGCGGTCACAGTAGAAGCTCACCGTAGGACCCTGGAGAGTCACTCCCTAAAACACTCAAAGCTACTCCTCAAGGATGGCCGGAAAATGGGTAACGAAAAGAGAATGAATCTCCTCCAATTCCTACTGGAAGAGGAGGTACAGGCGTATCAGCCAGGGCATTCTACACCTGGCTGAATCACAGCCTGTTCGCAAAAACTAGGAACACCCCGGCCGTGAACGAACTTAAAGACACTAGCAGAATGCTGCTAAATAAGTGCTACAACTACAGGCTGGAGGAGGTTACCTTAACAAAGATTTTGAGTAGAGTTAACGAAGGAGAGGTCTCATTCAACGACCTAGTGAAACTGGTCATTGACGACTCCGTCTCAAACTATAAAGAAAGAAATGGTGGGGCGAAGAAGCCCTACAGAGCGTCAAATAAACGAATACAGCAGGCCCTGGGGAGTGACTTTCCAGGTACAGTAGGCTTAATTCTAGACGGTAAGGCCAGTCAGGTGGGGATGAGCCAGAGTGTACCCCAGCAAGTAATTGCGGAATGGGTGCACAAGTTCGAGACCCCTAATCTGGTCAACAAGGTGAACCACACCATGGAGGCCCCCATCTCAGTAGAGGAAATTAGGGAGGCCATGCCTAGCATGGGCGCTTCTAAGGACCCAATGGGAATAAGGGGGGCTGAGATTCGTGACATACCCATGGATGAACTGGTGAAGTTTTTTAATAGAGCCCTAATCGATGGTAAACTTCCACAGGAGCTAATCACAGGAAGGACCACTTTGATCCCCAAGAACGAGGACCCCCAGTTAGCAGGGACTTAAGACCGATAACGGTTCTGCCCCATATAACT